AAAGTTCAGAAGGGCCAGGGAAGAAGGAGGCGTGGAGACAGGGAACCCAGGGAGGAAGGGGGGTTAGGGACACTTCAATGTGGGGGTGACAATGAGACCAGACAAGTGTGTATGGAATGCTGAATGGAAAACCATCTGCTGTGTAAACTTCACCTAGTACACAAAAAAAAGGTTTTGAAAGTAATAGCTATATTGTTTTGATGTGCACTGTAGCATCCATTTGTGTTTTTTTTTTTTAAAGAAGAAAGACCAGAACACCCTACGGATCCCACAAGAACACTGCTGCTGGGAGCAGGGCTGGAAGATGAGCCCAGGTGGGAAGGAAGGAATGGAAATCATACAGTAACCTCAACAGTGGACCCCCAGCGAGTGCTGCTGGGAGGAGGCTCAGAGTCAGGCAGGTTCATTCTGTCCTTCACACTCTGTCCCTCACTCTGTCCCTCCCTCTGTCGCTCCCTCTCTCCTTCACTCTGTCGTTCACGTTCATGGCCGGTGGGGCGTGGACTCGACCATAACCACAGCAATTAGAGTGTGTGTCTGTCTGTTTGCGTCCCAGCAAAGGCTCTGCCTAGATGAGAATTCACCTGAAACAGCTGCTTTCTGGTGAAGTGAATGCTGCTCCAAGATGTGCAGGGAACAATCCATCCCTTAGAGGAAACACAGGAATGGAGACTGTGCCTGCCTGTCTCCTGGGTGTTTCGGGAGCAAATGCTAAAGACCGTGCATGCAGAGGTGAGGGTCTTTGATTACAGACACCTCCTGACACCTTCTATTAGAGCCTTCCTCAGCATCCTACACCTCCATCCGACACCTCTCCATGTCCTCTCCTCTCCATGTCCTCTGGGGGCCAAGGTCTCGGAGCTGGAAAGTCATGCTCCTTGGTTTCTCATGATGTTGATTATTGGTCCAGTGGTGAGGACTGTTGTTTTCTCTACGCTGAGTTGTAGTTCACACTTGGCTCTTCATCAGTAAATGCTTCAAGTCCTCTACACTTTCAGCAAGAAAGGTTAGGTCATCTGCACTTTGTGGGTTGTTAATGAGCCTTCCCCCAAACCTGATGCCACATTCTTCTTCATACTGTGCACATATGATTAGAGGGATCCAATGCCGAAAGCAAGACACAGTTTTGGTAACGTTGTCCTGGGGTCCCCAGAACATGGTATCACAATGTGGTGACTTCAAACAATGTAGGGGCCAGAAATTTAAGTGAGGGGTATCAACAAGGTTGTGCCCTCTCTACAGGCTCTAGGGGAAGACCCTTCTTTATCTCTGCAGCTTCTGGTAGATTCCGACACTCCTTGACTTAGCCTTCAGCATAACTGTCCCACATGGTCACCCCTGTGTCCTTCTGTGTCACTCCTCCTCTTTTATAGGACACCACTCAGAGTGGATTAGGACCAACCCTACCCCAGTATGGTCTCCTGCGAACTCAGCTGATAACATCTTCAGAGACCCGATTTCCGCACAAGGTTGCCTTCACAGGTATTGAAGCTCAGGACGTCAACATTTCTTTCTAGGACACACAATTAAACTCATAGCACCAGCTCCTGTTACAACTTCAAAATTCGGATCCTCACCTTGGGGCTGCTGCTGTAGGAAAAAGCAGGAGTTTGGGACCAGGCCAACAATTCCCTTACGGTGTACCTGTGATTCTCCAATCAATGCACATCTCTGAACTCTCTGCACTAATTTCCAAAGGGGTTGAATTTGAACGGTCACGTTTTTTACTTGCATATCAAGAAAAGAGATCGCTTCATATATTATTGGGAATTAAAGAGGACAGTAAACATGCACACACCCTGGGATCAGACAGTCAACAAATATGCGCTGAGTGTTTGTTCACCCCTCTGGCACCGTTTGGGTACACCCATGTGAGTTGTTTCTCTCTTATTACCTAGGACGGTGATCTGGGGCCTTCTCCCCGACTCCACCCCACCACCATCCAAAGTGGCCGCGCCCTGCTGCTTCAAAGAGCCAAGACTGAGAGCCAACTGCTTGCACATTTAAGTGCCCCCAATTGAAGCAACAGATCACCCACAATTCACCTTAGGAAACGAGGCCTGCTTGTTTGCCAAAGCAGGGAGGGAAGGCGGAAAGAGGGAGAAGACCAATTTAGCCCTGTCCTGGAGTGAGCAGAAATTGCTCTAAATAAGTCCCTTAGCATTCTGGTTAACAGTGGAGTTTGTAGCACGATAAAGCATTCGCCCGGGGGGCAATTCAGTCTCCTTCATCTATCTGTGGCTTTTTATTAAAAACAAATACAGTATGAAGAAATTCAACCCATTGCTACAGCAGAGACAACTGCAGGTTTTATTAGGTAAAGCACATAAAAGAATGTTCACTGCGAGGTCGGCTTATTCGCGGTGACATTCATATAAAATGACATTTTCACAGCTATTGCACTCCTGCTGAGGCGCTGCAGCATCAGCGTTGGACTGCAAACCACAAGGTCGGCAGTTCAAACCCACCTGCTGCTCCTTGGAAATCCGATGAGTAAGAACCGTGAGGTTAGCAGCCCAATTCGTACCCACTACGCTACCAGAGCTCCTTTAGCTGTTTCTTTACTTGGACTGAAAAGGTTTTCAGAGAGAAGCATCAAAGGCTGTTTCCTTCCCATCAAACGTCCAGTGTAGTCTGAGTGTACTGAAAATTAGGGTACAATTCAGAATAGAATGCAGGCATTTACATAGTCACTTGGGGCCCATAATTAGGACCACCTTGGGATTTCATAGAAGGAGCCCTGGTTTCGCTGCTCAACTGCTCACCCAAAGGCCAGTGGTTCGGACCCCATGATTACCCTGTGGGAGAAAGATGTAGCGGTCTGCTTCGGTACAGATCTGCAGCCTCTGGAACCCTCTGAGGGCAGGTCTACTGCGTCCTAGAGAGTTGCTATGAAATTAACTCGACAGCAGAAGGTGTTGAAATCTTATATGGCCATTTATCCGTTACCTCGAACCACACAACTCGACGGGCACGGTTTGTATGTCTGATAAGGAAATCCAGTTTTACAAGGTAATTTACCAGGAATGTACTAGCTCATCCAGAGACCCTGTGGGGTGTTGTGGGCTAATGTGCTGGGCTGCAAAGTCAGCTTGAACCACAAGGTCCGACGGTTCAAGCTCACCAGGAGCTTGTGGGTTGGAACAGACTTCGTATTAAATAATTGATAAAAGTCCACAGTGGCCCTGCAGGAAGGAGTAGGATGGCTCTGTAGGATTTCTGAGGCTGTAAATCTTTACAGAAGCAGACTGCCTCTTCCATGGAGCGACTGTATCACTGACTTTGTAATCAGCAGCCCCACACTTAACCCCCACACCACCACAGTGTCTCAGTGCAGTAGGCTTCGGTGTCAGTGATGTTGTCTGCATATCGGCTGCTCCCTGAGAGGTTGTCCTTCCCCATAGAGCTCCTGGCTCCAGTGGCCCAGAACATCCCTGCCCACTGCCCACTGCCCACTGCCCTGGACACAGGTGGGAAGCACACTCCTATCTCAGAACCCCTGCTTTAAAAACTTCAAGTTTTGCTGGAAAGCTGTGAAATCGTCCAGAAAATCAGGAGTCTCTGTTTCAGAAGAACCACTGTGTCCTCTAATGTGCTAACATGCGGTCAGTCTGACCTGAACCAAGCTTCGAGTCCTCAGTGTGGAATTTGTAGCCCTGCACGGCTGCTGTGAGAATCCACACCGACCACCCCACACCCCTCACAGCACTGTCACATGGGTCTCACGGCTTGTGACTGAGACAGTGCAACAAACCCAATCACATGACTCATGTTCCGACTAAAAGCAGAGAGTGCTGGGAAACTGCTGTGGGTCTCCAACCTCATCTAGTGTCCTCACTCCCAGCAAATTCCTCCAGGAGCTTCCCCGGGTACCCAACTCCACCAGTATCCATGGGCTTGGGATCTGCCAGGATACAAGCACCTGGCCCCCCACAACCCATGGAGTCTCTTCGTCATTCATAATTCCAACTTCTTTTGAAGGCACATAAAGGAACTTGAAAAGAATCATGCACATACATTGGTATCATCTCCTAGGCTGTACAAAGAGGGGCTTCAAATGTTCATGGGAAATTCCATTATCTCTCTATTCCAGTTCTTCCATGAACTTTCTGAAGCCCCTCGGTGTAAGTACATATACATACTTGAAGTGTTGAAGAGCAAAGATGTCAGCTTGAGGACTAAGGTGTGCCTGACCCAAGCCGTGGTATTTTCAATAACCTCATATGGATGCGAAAGCTGGACAGTGAATAAGGAAGACAATAGAAGAATTGATGCTTTTGAGTTACAGTGTTGGAGAAGAATATTGAAAGTGCCATGGGCTGCCAAAAAAACAATAGATCTGTGTTGGAAGAAGTGCAGCCAGAGTGCTCCTTGGAGGCCAAGATGGCCAAACTTCGTCTCTCATACTTTGGACACATTGTCAGGAGGGACCAGTCCCTGGAGAAGGATATCATGTTTGGTAAGGTGGAGGGTCAGAGAAAAAGAGGAAGACCCCCAGCAAGATGGATTGGCCAAGTGGCAGCATCAATGGGCTCAAGTGTGGCAACAATAGTGCGGTTGGCCCAGGACTGGGCAGTGTTTCATTCTGTGTGCATAGGGTCACAGTGAGTTGGAGCTGACCCAATGACAGCTAACAACAATCCAGAGTGATTGAAAAGTGATGGGGAAAACTTAAAAAACCCACAACACAAGGCCTTCCCGGCAGTCCCATAGGGTCCCAGCTCTCCAGGATCCTCAAAATAACACAGCTTCTAAAGGGGGAGGGAGGCAACGCCCCACTTCCCATACACAACGCCCCCTGCTGTACAAAGACAGTACTGCCTTGTTTATTTCACACAGAACATCAGGTAAACAAAACTGCTGCCTGAAGCAACAACATATCACCGACTACTTTGCTGGACTCTGAGCAGGTGCAAAACAACGAACATCGAAAGGCGTCATGTTTAGCATGTCTCAAACAATGAATGTCATTGGTACAGAGAAAAAGCTGCATCTCTTACCTCTGGTGCTGCGGCGGGCTTGGTCTCTGCCGAGGCTGAGTCCTCCTTGTTCTGCTGAAGTATAAGGTGAAGAAAGAGTTCCGTTAAATCGCACTGTGTCACTTACGGTCAGCAGCTCCATCAGGATGCCACCAAAACACATACTAACCAGACCCGCCAGCTTCTTGCTTCTAAACATTAGTCTCCACATGCCTGCCAATAATTAGAGGAGTTTGTCTAACCTTCAGGAAGCCCTTTAGGCCAAAGCCAGCAGAAGGGAACTTGCTAACTTTTGCGCAACTTTCAAAAATGCAGCCGAAGGAAATGATGTTCTAATCGCCAACCTCAAAACTCAACTGACAAAGTCCCCACGGTGCCTTCCAGACGCACATGGGCTGAGGGAGCCCAGCCGATCTTGGAGGTAACAGCAATGTTGTCCCCTCTTGTACTGCTGCCATCCAGTGGGCTCCAAGCCACGTGGCCTCGTGTCCAGCAGGAGACATTGCCTGTCCACATCATCTGCAGATCAATGTGGAGGCCACTTTGTATTCTGGGTGTCTTCCAACCTAGGGGATCACTTTCCTGCCCTATGCCAGCCACGCTGTTTTCACTGGCTGATTTTCAGAGGTTTGATTGCCAGACCTTTCTTACTAGTGCATCTCACTGAAACCTGTCCACCATGGTGTCCCTGCTGGTATTTTAAATACTGGCCACATAGCTTCCAGCATCCCAGAAATACACAAGCTACCACGGCACCCTGACAGACAGGGGAGGCTCATTCTACAGAAGGGATGGAATTCAGTCACAGAAAAGGGAAAATGGACTGGGAAAATAAGCTAACAGGTATCTCATTAAAGTTCCCATAGTGTTTAGAGCTTCCTTACTCTACCCACGCCTCTTTCAGGCATGATTAAGGAGGACACAGGACTGGACAGTGTTTCATTCTGTTGTAGATAATGTCGCTATGAATCAGAACCAACTCAACAGCACCTAAAAACAACAGCAAGATTTCCCAAGAACCTGAAGATTTTACTTAACAATGTCACATTAGGGTCTCTGAGAACAGAAATCGTGGTGATCTTATTTCTGTACCCCAAAAATACTGTTGTTGTTGTTAAGTGTTGTTGAGTTGGTTCCTACCCATAACAACCCTGTATGGGGTTTCTGAGGAGTGACTGGTGAGCTTGAACTGCCAAACTTTGGTTCAAACTGACTTTGCAGTCTAGCGCATTAACCCGCAGACTCTGAAAATACTGTAGGTGCTAGATTTTCATTCCTCATGTTTTTCTTCTGTTCCCTGTTGTTTAACTCAGATCCACTAAATAAGAAGAGATAAAGAAAAGAGGCAAAAATTTAAGCTTGTCTCTTTTTGCCCAGTACCAATAATTGTGGTTCAACTGTCCATAGAAGGAGGGTTAGAGTTACCACCTGAAATGAATTCCTAGGCTGCTAAGCACTTCACGTCTCCAACTTTCCTCAGCCTGCCCTCAGGAGTCACTTTGGGGCCCATGAGACCAAGGGTCCATCTGACTGGTCACTACTGTTCTGGACTCCACCACTCTGTCTCCCAACACGCCTGACAAAGGGTCACTCTTAATGTCTTTAGTCCCCAAATCCAGCCAATGGTTGTCACTCTGGGTGTGCATTCGAGACCATCTGAAGAGCTTTACGCAGCCCAGACCCAGCTTTCTGAGTCCGGGATTCCCGCCCAGGTTCTGGTATGCTGAGACCTCTGTTCTCCATGTCTGTTTCCCCTTCTTGTCATGTAGCTGACATACAGACGAGCTTGCTCGTCACCCACGCTACATGCACAGTGAGCCTGGATTTACCCAACTCCCCTGCTCCCTCCACGGCTGTCAAATCCATTCTCCCCCATAGTGCCCTCATGCATGTCAGGGAAGAACTCTGCTCTGTAGGGTTCACAATGCCTGGGGTTGGTTTGTTTTTTCAGAAGTAGATTTCCAGGTCTTCCTTGTGAGGTAGCTCTGGATGGACTCTGAGCTGCAGTTTGTCGGTGTGCAGCCAGCTGTCCTCACTGTTTGCACCATCCTGAGACTCCATGTGGTCCAGGTGGGAATGACCGCAGCCCTACCATCCCCCGCCCACCCCTACGACCCAGCCCCCAGAAGTGGCCATGAGCCCCCCAGGCCTCCCCTACAATTCTGACCCTTCTTTTTCCTGGGAAGGTCTATATCTGGGGTTTGTGTGTGTGCTACCTTGGGCATGTGCAGTTTGAGAATGAGACCCAATACTAGGTCAGAGATGAACAGCCCCCAGGAATCATCCATGTTGCTGTTAATTCAAACCCCAGTCTTTGGCCACGCCCTTGCATCACGTAGCCCAGTCCTAGACCATCCCCATGACTGGCTGTGATCCAGAGGATTTTCAATAGCTGATTTGCCATAGATTGCCAGACCTTTCTTCCTAGTTTCCCTTAGTCTGGAAGCTCCAATGAAACCTGTCCAGCACCCTCACAACAGAGGGCTGCACACTAGGTGCACGGCTAGGAACTGAACCCAGAACTCCCACACAGGGAGGGAGCAGGGGGGAGAGGGAGAAGTTAACCACTGACACCCTCCCAGCTCTGTCACCATCTCTGCCTACAATGCTCAATCACACCAGCACATAAACCGTCTGTTTTGCTTTAGCCTCTTGGACTTGGTTCTGAAACTTGAAACAGTGAGGACGGTCCACCTGGACATAAATATGATGTTCCTGAACAGAGCCCGGTGGTCAGAATGAGACCCTCTGGTGGCGCAGTGGTTAAACGCTAGACTGTTAGCTGGAAGGTGGACATTTCTGACCTGCCGGTGTCTCAGAGGGACTGCTCTGCTCCAGTAAAGAGTGGCAGTTTCAGGACCCTAAGGGTGGCTCTACTCTCTCCCACCGGACAATTCCTGTGTGTCAGAATTGACTGCAGGCCAGGGACTGGGCTCGGGTTTGGCTTGGTCTGGAAGGAGAATCCTGGATTGCCAGAAGAGCACGTGCCCACCCACCCCGCCCTCAGCTTACCACCAGACCAGTCTTCCTATTCGTCAGTGGTGCTCTGACCTGCCAATCATGGACCCCAGAACTCACCCACCCATCATGGACCCCAGGTCTGACCCATCCATTATGGACTCCAGGACTGACATGCCCATCATGGACCCCTAGACCGACCCGCCCATTCATGGACAGCAGGACAAAAACAAGTTGCTGAATGTGCCATATTCTCTCATTTAGCAGCTTTAAATGTCTTCCCCTTCTCGTTTATTTAATACGATTAACACGGAGCTAACCAGACTCCTCAGGAATAAGTTTGCTTCCTTCAACCACTTCAGCCCCTCCTGACCCCTTCTTCTTCCTCCTAGCTGGGCTTCTGTTCTGGGGCCAAATTTGGGTGGACAAGAGGTCTCTCAACCCCTCTAGGGAGGCCCAGGTGCTCCCTGCTTCATGAGGACCCAGGGAAGGGAGGCAGGAGGAAGGCGAGGAGCAGACGAAGCTCTGAGGTTTCCACCGGAGAGCAGACAAACCCACCAGGAAGTGTTGGTTCCTGCTCCGCCCCACCAGGAAATCCTGCACCTAAACCTATCCACTCGGATTCCCTTCCTCTTCCCTCTTCTCATCCTGCTGAGGTGTTCCTGTGGCGATATTTTTAGTGTGGCTTTAATATCATCATGCCTCGCCCACCAAGAAAACAATAAGAAAGCAGAGATGACCTCACACAGTTTGTACCACGGGATTTTACTCCAGATAAATTAAAGACCATGACCTGCAGCCTGCATTAATGAATGTGCATTATACATTCATGGGGAATACAAGAAAAAGGCCAAAAAACACATGGGTCTTTGCTTTATGTGAAATAAAATATCAAATGTTTCTGGACAAATTATCAGTAACCATTTTGGACAAAAATATGGGCTTAATATTCTAAACTGGAGAAAGCACTGTGTGTCCTGGGCAACGTAGGGGCTAGCAGAACATTCTCTACCTATGTTTCAACTGTTCCATTTGGGTGTCCAAAGTATATTTGATCCTGTGGAGTGTTTAAGATTGGCCTATATGTATATACAGCTGATGGTTCAATTTTATAATGCCAGGGGATTCTATTCACTGAAAGTCAGCATTTGTCTAAACACACACACTTGAGGATAAGTTGATTTCAATTCAGAAGACCCCGTATGTGTCAGAGCAGAGCTGCAAGCCATAAAGGGGTTTGGGAGCTGATTTTCTGGATAGAGGTTGCCAGGTCTTTCTTCTGAAGCACTTCTGGGTGTATCTGAACCACCAGCTTTCCAGTTAACACTCAAATATTTGATCATCTGAGCCACCTGAGCACTCCTTGTTAGATGCTAAAATATCTTGAAGGCTCTGGGTACATTCCTCCAAAGTCCTGCTGAGAGAGTCACAGGCGAGCAGCAGGAACCATCATTAAGCCGTCCAATTTTCTAAATACATTAGCACACGACACCTTCAGTGAGGGTTTGGGTGCCGTGTTGCTGGGTTTGCTTGGGAAGAGCAGGTGCACATAGTATTGATTGTTAATGATTTCAGAAGTTGAGACCCTTCCTGACCTGCACCCATGGCAGCCTGGGGGTAGATCTGCACCCCAGAGGGCATTTCCTACACTGTGGCTTTGGGAAAGTTGCCCAACCTCTCGGCCTCAAGTTCCTGCTTTGTGCAGGGGGCTGGCGCCAGGGGGCTGCTGATACCGAGGGCTGTTGGGAGATCACTGAGCTCGAATGGAGGCAGCACTGAGAACGCTGCATGGGGTACACGCCCTTCGTACATGTTAGCTATTATGATGAGGAGGAAGTAGGTACTCCAAAGGGTCCCCACAGTGTAGCTACATGGTGTATGATGTAGAGCGTTTCTGAGGAGTTCAAATCCAACAACCACTCCCAGGAAAAAGACGAGGCTGGCTGCTCCCATAAAAATGTTCAGGCCTGGAAACCCTACATAGGATGGCTATGAGCCAGAATCTATAGGTCTAGTTATAGTTTCCTTTAACTAGTACTTTATTCTCAAAGAAAGCTGTTGATATAGGTTCACAAATACAAATTAGCACAACACTGTAGTTAAAACAACAGAAA